CCAGGGCGCCGAATATGATTTCGTGAAAACTATTTGTAGTGTCCGCCCATTTGATCACTTGTACAAAAACATGAACCTTGATACCGTTCCTTTAACCCGGCTGACCAGAAACTCCGTGCGCTCCCATTTGTCCCTGCAACCCTTACGCAAGCCAAGCAGTGTGATGAAGATAGTAGAACAAGGAAAGAAGTAAAAAGTCATGAGAAGCGATCCGACTCGACAGCTCACTTCTTCTTGCTCTTGACTTCATCTTCATCAGAACTCATAAACTCATCGTCCTCATCGAATCCAAAGAACGTTCTCGGCTTGTCCTTGGGTGCCTTTGCCGGTTCTGACGGCGGTGTTGACTCCTTCGAGCTGCCTCCTTCCTCATCCTGCTCATTCTCACTCATTTCTTCGTCCGTCTCCTCTGATCCTGTCGATCCTTGCGACGTACCGAGAAGGTTGTCCTTGTACTTTCCGGCTTTCATGGCAGCAAGTACCGCTTCGCGGGTTCTCTCGTTGGACTCTTCCTTGTCCTCAACCCACTTTCCGTCGAGGCGACCTTTGCTGCCGTTCTTGATCTCGTCCTCGCGTTTCTCTGCAAGCTCAACAATCTGCTCCCATCTCTCGCGACGCTTCTCCTTCTCTTTCTTCTCCATCTCTGGCTTGATGGCGAGGTACTCAGCCAGCGCCTTGGCCTCGGTGACGGTCCGCAAACGTCTGCCGTCAAGGTTTCGGCTTGAGTTGTTCGCATCTCCCTGGTTGCGCTTCTTCTTTGAGGACATGCGACCACCGGCAGCTCGAAGCTGGGACCCAAAACCACCCTTGCCACCGCAAAGCGGTACGGAAAGTCGCAAAGAAACAAAGTCATCGTCGATGGATGACAGAAGATCTGACACTGGTTTGGTAGACGAAGTTGACAGCTCTTTGTTGGAGACGGTTGTCAGGATAAGGCGGTTGTCTGTGGCGGGCAGTCGCTCGTCAAGCTGTTGTCGCAAGTCGCATAGGGTCGTCGTCGAGGGAACAGGCAGTACCAGTGTCGACGGTAGGCCCAAACCAGCAAAGGTGCTGACGAACACGTTGACGTTCTTGACAGCCATTTTCGAGTTGGGAGTGCTTTATGTCCGTGACCGAAGTATTTGGTTTCTCGATTTGCGCCGACGCAATAGTAAATCGATAGGCAGGTGACGATGTCGAGGCGGGATGGGGACGCGAAGTGGCAGGCAAATGTTCAGTGTTTGGATACAACGATGATTATGAGATGGCCCTGACTTATCGCAGATACCTAGCTACTGGGTGAGGCGCAGCACTCTGAGGAAGTGTGGCGGCCCTTGAGGATACACCCACTTATCAATAGGCGTTATCTACACGTGACTGCTCTGCGTGCCATTACAGCGCCCCACACTTCGTCCGTTCCGCGTAGGGTTGACGCCCACTAGGCTATTCTACCTTCCCACGACGAATTTCGAAACTTTTTGTTAGTTCTCGACAGCGCTCGATCAGACATCCCACTCATCGACCAGCAGCGACCACGACAACCGCCACGATGTTGATCCCCAAGGCCGACCGCAAGAAGATCCACGAGGTTAGATTTACAATTTTCAGGCGTGCTGAAAAATTGGGAGGATAGCGATTGCTGACGACGAAAATTACAGTACCTCTTCCGTGAGGGTGTCCTCGTCGCGAAGAAGGACTTCAACCTCCCCAAGCACCCCGACATCGACACCAAGAACCTGTTCGTCGTCAAGGCCTGCCAGTCGCTCACCTCCCGCGGCTATGTCAAGACCCAGTTCTCGTGGCAGTACTACTACTACACCCTGACCCCCGAGGGTCTCGACTACCTCCGCGAGTGGCTTCACCTTCCCGCCGAGATTGTCCCCGCCACCCACATCAAGCAGCAGCGCTCCCACGCTCCTCCCCGCGGCATGCTCGGCGAGGGCGAGCGCGAGAGAAGACCCTTCGGCGGCCGTGGCCGTGGAGGTGACCGTGGTGACCGTGAGGGTGGCTACCGCCGCCGTGATGCTGGCGAGGGTGGCAAGGAGGGTGGTGCCCCTGGTGGATTCGAGCCCCAATTGTGAGCCTCAACCCCTCGAATGCTTTGCGCCATGTCGATACTGCGCATAGTAAGGGTCAGAACGTCTTTTTTTGCTAACACATGTTACAGCCGTGGTGGCTTTGGCCGTGGCCGTGGCGCCGCTCCCCCCTCGTAAGAGGATTCTTTCCTATCGGCTTTTACTCTCGAGACGCATTGGCAGAAACAAAAAGGCACCGACATGTACTCTAAAAAGTGGATGGCCGGAACAGTCGCGCGTCTGTTAACGTCACAGACAACGGGGGAAACATCGTGGGAGTTTGGAGGTTAGATCCTCGGAAATCGTTTGCATCAAAAGGTCATGAATTGCAGCCTGCGGCTTTGTGCCGTTCTCTCCAAACTGTGAAACGTCCTTTTGTCCTTCTTACCACGCTGTGATGAGCAAGCAGTGTCTGCCGGCTAGCACGTGGGGTGGTGCTGAAGTTGCGAGAGGCCACGTTCAAGACCCCTTCTGCATGTCGAGGGCAGGCAAAGATGAGAAAAAGAAACGAGGACATGCGCAAAGCGTTCCTCAAGTCGAAGGATGGACGAGAAAGGGGTCCGTCTATGAAGGAATGTTGAGAGCCTGGGGTAAGCGCCGACGCACGTAGGATAGCTTCAGCAGGCTTCGCACGAATAACGTATGGTTCCAGACATGAGTGCGTTTTATGTGTAGCGCCGCTGCCCCCTCTGTGCAAAGAAGCAATGCGCGATGTTCCCTTGCCTTAGCGAATATGCGTGATAGCCTCGAAAGTTGAACGGGATGGCCAGTTGGAAGAATCCCGAGGCGGGTAAGTAAGGTCGTTGGGAAGTGGCGGTGACTGCGTAAATCTCATGACTGCCAGGTTTCCGGACGCCGAATGGGCGAGAGTCTCAATTGCGCCCCCGCGTAAGGTCGGAACTCAAGCAACCTCTCCACACTTTTGCAAATGCTGTCTGGCTGTGCGTCTTTGTCTCAGCAGGTGAGATGTGCTGCATTGGCTCAGAAGAGACCAGAACGCCTTCCTCAACGTCCTGCCGTGCCTTTGGGTGCCATTGCTTGCACCTGGCCCAGGAAGAGGCTAGGGTTCATCCCCCCTCCCCCTCACTCCTACGTACCTGGCCTCCTTTCTGCACCTGTGCCAGCTTCCGGACGCGGTTACCTCAATATCCCCGAGCCGTGGGATGAGAAGGGAAGAGAAGGTCCTGGGCAAGAGTACTTGCCATGAAAGTCACTTCACCCAATCGATGTCTTGTCTAACCCAACCCGACATTGATTTACACACAGCTTCACCACATCACTAGCGGCAGAACATTTTCTAATTACTATAGGGAACTGCAAGCAAATGTCGATTCTACTCTAACCGCGCCAGCAAAGATGGACACTCCATCATGCCTTAGCACCTTGTGGTGCAGAATAATAATCGGAGACGCGATTAAGCTATGAGCCACCAAACGCAAACTCAGCTTAACCTCAGGGTGGCAGAGATTCAGAATCATATCAGAGCATCCAACGACCCATCCCACTATCTTTGAACCAACCCGATACGTAAGTCAACTCCATGTGGAGGCAGTGTCTCCACGCCAAGGGCTGGCGCTACAAGGCCAGCAAACCGGGGAACAACCGGCGAGGGGGGTACTCCAAGGATAGCGCGTGGAGAGAGAATCGCGGGCGCGGATATCAGCAAGAGCCTGGGTGCTGGGCAAGGTCGAGACGAGTAGACTACGGTAAGTTCATGTCATGTGCCATGGGGTGTCACCACGCTCCCACTCTCCTTGGCCCGGCTCTGGGAGTGTTTTGTTGAGGTAGTGTGCCAGGGAAAGAGTGCCGGGTGTGCAAGATAAGCACTGCGGCGGTGTCCAAGTGGACCTCCTGGCGGGAAAGAAAAGAAGAGATGGTGTTGTTGATGGTGGAAGTGGTGTTGTCACTGTCTGGTTCACACACTTACAAGTCGAGACCAGGACTTCTTGCACGCTCCCCACTCTCCAATTTGTATGCAGCTCGCTAGCTCTCGCTTCTCTGAGTGGCTCGATGATAGTGTCTTGACCCCGTTCAGTGGGATGAGCTAGACAGCTGGACTGCCTGGCAGTTGTTGGAAGCTCGTTCGCGGACGCGTTGTCATGACCTTGCCCCTCACACGTTGAGTCTTCTCCCTGATTTTCGATTGCTCCCAAAGTCATTACCTCCCGACTTTCCCGCGCTTGGAAGTCTGGTTGCTGGTGGCAGCCCTGCCCTGCGTGATGACGCCAGGTTTGCAGCAATAAGTCCGCTGAAAGTCTGGGGGCGGGGCAATTTTTGGACGGACAGGGGGGTTTAGACTTTGCTCAGCTCTGTGGTCTGCCAACAGCTCCGGTCTTTCTCAGGTGCTTTTTACCCTCACCGATCAATGTTTGGCCAGACCAGGCTGGGGTCTTTCTCGAGGCGTGGCATGCCGTCTCGTGTATGTACCATCATTTGTTGGCCGAGTGGCGCGTCGATATGGTCGAGAATGCGTCTGCGGACGCGGGATGCAGCTACCTACGCCAGCATGCCGGATGGCACCGCACGAATGAAGAGGTACATGGACTCGGTGTAGCCTTCGAAGCTCGCCGATTCGAGCGTACAATGCAAGTCCAAGGGAGAGTTTAGATGTAACTACCCTGACCTTAGACACGCCAGCCAACACCTTGGACCCTGGTCCCATCTCCGTCCCAAGATGTGCCCATCCCCGCGCTGCTCGGAGGAGGCCATATATAAAGCTACCCATTCCACCTCTAGGAGCTTCACACAGAAGTACTGAATCAAACTTCTCCCCACTTCGCCTGTCCTCTAGTGAGTCTCTTGTGTGCGTTAGTAGCTTCCATGGTTGTTTTGCATCCCCTATAACACAAGCTGAGCTTCACTAATACTGTTGACATTCGCTAACTGAGCATCAAGCTACGATAGCACATCTGCCACCCTCAGGACACCAGTCAAGAATCCTTCAACATGTCGAACCTTCCCAAGCAGATGAAGGCCCTTCGGTATGGTTCCCCTCTGTCGACCACGAATGATCATCGGACCAGCATGGCAGTTCGCGCAACTCTGGTTGCTGGACCATCTACCCCTCCATTGGCGCTAAGCTGACCCCTCATCCAGGTACGAGAAGCCCGAGGATTGGTCAATCGTCCAAGTTCCTCTCCCAGAGCTTCGGGAAAATGATGTTCTGGTCAAAGTCAGAGCTTGCGGTGTTTGTGGCACTGGTGAGTAAACCGTCATCTTTCTTGTACCAATGCATACGCCGCGCAAGTCGAGAGTGATCTTTTGCATTGATCAGTACGACTAACACGGACGCCACAGACTTGGTAAAACCTCCCAAACCTAACGGCCTCCAGTCGTACCTCGAGTGGCATAACTAACGTTATTTATAGCACATTCACGAGGGAGAGTTCATTGCAAAGTTTCCCTTGATTCCTGGCCATGAGACTGTTGGTGTCGTCGCCGCCGTAGGACCTGTAAGCAAAGCTATTGTCCTCCACTCCTGATGAAATGGCTGCTAACATGATGACACAGAAAGTCAAGGACTTCAAGGTCGGCGACCGTGTTGCTGCCGACAACAGTGAGCTCTGCAATGAGTGCTTCTACTGCCGACGTGGAGAGCTTTTGCTCTGCGAGCACGTATGCCCGACCCCACTTTACCACTTATACGGACGGATGTTGAAGTAACACTTCCTTTGCAGTTCGAGGCTCACGGTGTCACCATGAACGGTGGTTTCGCCGAGTACTGCGCGTACCCTGCCGGCAAGGTCTTCAAGATCCACAACCTTAACGATGTCGATGCCACTCTTCTCGAGCCCGCCTCCTGTGCATGCCACGGTCTGGACAAGATCCGGCCCCGCCTCGGATCAAGCGTCCTCATGTTCGGCGCCGGCCCAACCGGTCTCGTGAGTCCACCTCGACTTCGGCCGGGAGATTGCACCCTGCACCCTGCACCCCGTGCACCAGTGACTGATCGATGTACTACAATGTAGATGCTTGCTCAACTCATGCGCCACAACGGCGGCTGCAATGTCACCATCGCGGCCCCTCAAGGTCTAAAGATGGACCTCGCTCGCAGCTTGGATGCTGCCGACAACTACATTGAGCTGTCCCGCTCTGACCCTCAGGTCCAGTTCACGCAGCTCCAGAAGGACCACCCGTACGGCTTTGACGTCGTCGTTGAGGCTACCGGTTCCGTCAAGATTCTCGAGGACGCCATCAACTACGTCCGCCGCGGTGGCAAGCTCGTAGTCTATGGGTAAGGTTGCGAATCATCGTTTCAGCGTACATGGTTGCTGATCCGTCAAACAACAGTGTCTACAGCAGCTCTGCTCGTGTATCATGGCCTCCCTCCAAGATTTTCGGTGACGAGATCACAATTCTCGGCTCCTTCTCCGAGACCTATATGTTCCGTACGTATCAATCTTCAAAACATTTGTGCCTACTGCTTGCATACGCACATTAAGCCCAGTTATCCTAACACTCGCGCAGCCGCCACCATTGACTACCTCGACTCGGGCAAGGTCAAGACCAAGGGTATCGTCAACAAGACGTTCAAGCTTGAGCAGTTTGGTGAAGCTCTCGAGTCCATCAAGAACAAGAGCGCCATCAAGGCCGCGATTGTTTTCGATGATGCTACTGGAGTGTAAGGGCTCTCTGTGCCGCACCGCAAGCATGACAGAACAGACTGGTTTCTATCTCCCCTTTGGTCACTCTCTCCCCGAGTATGAAGTTGCCTTGGATCGTTTGTTGTTGTTTAAAAAAAGTCTCTGCTTGGCTCATCTCATTTCGTTACTTAGACAAGCATCGGATCGGAGTCAGAAGCTGGTGGGACGGCTGTAGAGTTGGGAACGGCGGTTGTTGTCGAATCGGCGGTTGGCGAATAGTGAAACTTGACAAAAAAGGTGGTTCGCGGCGCAGAAACGGTGTTGTTTGAACGGTTGATGACTTTGATGACGACTTTTGGATCCGGCGGTTGAGGATTTGGTTGAGATTAGCGTAAGGCGGCTCGGCGGTTGCGGAGTTTGGAGAGGGTAGTGAATCCAAGAAAGAGGAAGAGAAAAAAAAGCACACTTCAATGGGTCGAAGGGACAGAGAGAGGCTTGGTTTTGTTTTGTTAGTCTTTCTCTTTACCCAGGTTTTTTTCTTGCTCGATAATAAAAGAGCGATGAATCACCACGAGTTCCCGTTCGATTCCAGACCCGAGTCCGGAAACGTAAGTACTTGGGTGTCTTGACCTGGAATGTTTGGTTTACGCAGTCCCAAAATGTTCTTCTCATCTAGATTTCCCTAGCTAGACCTACCTTATCCAAAAATGACCTATCAAAGGAAATGATTGACAAAGGCAAAAAGGGAATGGCATTACGCAGTGTTGACTACGCATCGTCCATCTGGCGCACATGGGACCGAAGCCTATTCCCGCTTCTTCTCATTCGTAACCCCTCCACACCTTGGGCTCTCTCTGTATGTATGAGCTGGGCAAATTCATCCTACTGCCCCCCGCCCTCGCGATACAACCCACATCCCTACTAACTAGAGGTTGAGTTTACGACTGCCGGGGAAATCATCGCCAATCAGTAAACAACCCGCACCTTCTTCTCGTCCACCTCCACACCAACGTCCCTCGGTGAAAAGGCTAGAGCACATGCCAAACTTCACCTTCTTCGTGCCAACGTTGCGTACCGAGATTGATGCTTTACCCAGTCCCCGCACCGGCCAGCAACTTGCGTCGAATTGCATTAACTTGCAAAACGTGTTTTAACCCTCTTGGCTCACTCACTCTTCCCCAACGTAAACATTTCGAGTCAGCCCTCGGGGAGGTATCAGGGAGGTGGGCAGTGTTCGCAGCGCCTCTTTACCCACTTAGGTTTGAGTAACTTCTGGAACGTGACAAAAAGGGACCTGGCTGGCAAATGTTGCGCCGCTGACACATGCCGGTCGGAAAAGAATAAAGTCAAGTATGCGAGAGAGAGAGAGATGAGGCTGAGACTGAGACTCTTCCCGCCGCCAGCCCGGCGCGGATCTCGTCCCCGGACTCTCTCTTCCACTTATTTTTTGAGTTAAAGGTGGGGGGAGAGAAGGGCAGGTAAGCGCTCAATGCTTCCCGAAACGGGACGTCCAAGCGAAATGGAAACCAAATAAGAAGCATTCGCTCGCATTGCGGGATCCGCCGTCGAAAAGAGCTGTGCGAATGCGGGTGCGGGTGCGTTGCGTTGTGTGCGTGAGCTGGCTCCTGCTTTTGAGCTGTGAAGGAAACCCTCGCCCTCCATTGGTGTTTCACCGCACAGGGAATTGCCGTTTTGAGAGGGGGCAACACTCTAGGCAGAGGATCGGTGGGTTGATCGATCTGTCATACAGGCAGGGGTGTTATCCGAAGTGTTGGGCTCACCGAATAGCAACCATTCTTCGTCTGATGGACTGCCCGTTCTAACCCCCCTGAGGCCTTGTCAAGTTTTGGACGGGGTGTGGCAGGGTAGCAAGCTATGCGAAGAGCTATGCGAACTGTGTTGTGGCGGTGGGTTCTGTTGGAGACGAGACTCAGGTTCCGAGGCAAAAAGTGAGATTGTGGCAGCTCAGTAGCACATGGCATGGCAGCTCAAGCTGCATGTGTTCGTTCTGACGACAGTGAGGCCGTATCTGGGTTGTGATGACCAGGATATTGGACGACATGGGGAGCGTGTATATAACCCAATGTTCCTCGCCTTGAATTTCCTATCAATTCATCAACCAACTTCAACTGTAATAATCAAGTCTCACTTACAACAAACCCCAAACCAGCTTACTGAACGTCACCACTCCCCTAGCGCTTCCACAAATCAGCACACTAGCCAAAATGGACGCCATCACCCAGGCCATTCTCAACCGCTCCAAGCTGGAGGTGGAACACATTAAGATCTCCCAGCCCACGGCTGAGTAAGTCACTCCATTTGGCGGCATTCTGTGACATAAATCTGACTGCTGTGCGAATTACAGCACCTTTGTCATGGGAATCGTGAGCAGGGTCACAGGCACGGGACCCATGGGCGCGACAATGGCACCGATGACCGTCGACATGATGTTTAACGGCGGCTGCTTTGGCAAGCTGGATCTTCCCGAAGTCAAGACCAAGTCCGGAGGTACAGAGGTTGTCGTCAAGGACCAGCTCATCAAGATCCTCGACCGCAATGCCTTCATGGCGTTCGTCAAAGCCATCATGTGCGACGAGAGCTTGGTGTTGCGACTCGACAACGGCGACTGCACAATCAAGGCGCTCGGCCTGTCCGCCAAGGTCAAATACGCAAAGGACGTGCCCATCGTTGGCATGGGCGGCCCCAAGATCGCGCAGGTCAACTCTGCGGAGCGCGGCGGTGGTTTCGTCAACACGATGAAGGTGTACAACCCCAGCCCATTGGAAATTAACCACGGCATCAGCATGTTCGAGCTCCGAAGCGAAAGCGGTGAGGTACTGGCAGAGCTGGAGGGTGACCTGACGATTGTGAAGGGCGACTTCGAGAGCACATTGCAGGGTACGCTCAAGAAGGGGGCCAAGGCCTCGGACAAGGCAAGAATGGTTGGCACCGGAACAAAGGAGTCCAACTGGTGCAACGACACGATCAAGTTTATCAACTGCCAATTCTCGGTATCGCCGCAATTTGCGCAGATGCTGTAGAGTTTGGGAGCGAGGCGATAACCAGGTAGCTGTTCATACGTTATGACGAATGAGAATATGACAATGTTCGCAAACACCCACATATTTCCTATGTATGATGCATTGATCTGGAGTTGTCAGCAGAGACGATAAGCGAGCGACATACGACCAATGGTAGTTAAGCACCGCATATCTCATGGTTGTTGACATTTGGCAGCCTTTGTGCTATCGATTGAAAGAGAGATGGCCAGAAGCAGGACAAAACACTCTCCTGGCTCTTGCTGTCTTCTCCATTAGATTCCCTCCACCGGCCCGTCCGCAGGCAATTGGCCTATGTCATTGATCTAGAGAACAACCGAACCAGGTCTAGAAAACAGCTCTCGAAGACGATAATAACTACGGTTACAGGCAGCGGCCGATGCTGTGCTGCCTTTGATCGCTCGAGGTTTCGAGTGCGCAGACATTGGCTGTATGGTAGCTCGCGAGGACGGACAAGACAAGAATTGACGTCACGGCGGCCGTCAGCTCCGGAGCTGTTCGCCTGAAGCTTCCTCCGAGTGGAGCTTGGGGGATCCCAGTTGTCCGGACTTGGACAGCGAAGTTGAAGAGTCGGGTTCGAGGGCGTGTCATGGATGCACCGAAATGCTGAAACGGCCGAGGCAGTGTGTAGTGCCAGTTGTCATCTGCTGAAGCTACCTTATGTGGTGAAGGTCGAGGGTGGAGACTCCCGTAGTGTAAGGTCGAGGGAGCAAAAGTGTGCACCAGCAAAGGTCCGAAGCAGAGATCCAATGGCAGGGGCCTGTCATCGACGAAACGGGGATCCGCGATTACTTCTTTCCCCCACATTCGAGGTTAAGGTCGCCGGGCTTGGCGCTGGATGGCACCGACGGGACTCGGAAGGAAACGACCTGGGTGGATTGGGACCTGCCCTGGGGACTCAAGGTACCTAGGTAGAATTTAGGTCAGGGAGGAACAAACCGTCCGTCAGGTCTCCCGAAGTTCCCCCCGCCGAGTGCCGGTCTCGGGGAAGTGCGACCTTGGACCGCTAGCTGCAGCGTGACTGGTGTGCTAAGGCAGGGCAATAGCGGGAGGGCATGCACGCTGGAGACTGGGAGTGTTCCCCTGCAGGGATTCTCACAGCCGCGGTCGGCTTGGTTTTGTTTGGTTTGGCGAGTTGGGTTACACTGGAGTCTGGAGCTGAGTGCTGACCCAGCCAAAAGGGCCCCTGCTTCAGGCACTCAGCCCAGGACCCCTAAAATACACCTCCAGTTACTTATCCGTCCCTCAATAAAATAAAATAAAAACACTTGGAGCAGGGGTCGTCATTAGGAAATTGCAACATTTTATGTCACTCCACAGCTGTCCAGGCTGATGATTCTGTTACCTTATGTTAAATTGGCAGCGTAGCTGATCATGTTTGACGTTTCTGGGACCTTAATTACAGCAAGCTCTTTAGCAGTTCATGCATCAAGGTAGGTACCCTACCTCAGGTTCGTACTGGTACGTTGTACAACAATTAGACATGGAAACTGGCCCCCTTCATCTTTTGACATAAGTACGGATACCTACCTGCAAGTCAGAGAGGTAAGGAGCAGTGAACCGTGTATCAGAGTGTAACTGTAGACTTGTTTCTTTCTCGAAGGTTATTATTCGGAACCAATATCAGGGAGAGTAAACACATCTGTGGGAAACTCGAAAGGGCACTCAGTCAGCCACCCGGCGCTTCACAGGGATCAGCAGTTTAATCACTCCTGGTGTACTAATATGTTTGCCCTGACATACGCAGCCTGCTGATTCGCTCTCGGCTCCATGTGCGCCCAGCGTCGACTGTCGAATACGAGACCTGACGAGATTGAGATGAGAGAACATGGAATCTAGCATAGGGAGTGTCTTGGTTCGGGACACTGCTGCCGTTGCATTGTTCAATTTTCATTCCCTCCCTCGGCCGAGCTCGAGTCGAGTCGACTCTCAGCTCTCAGTCTCTTGCTGTCAGGTAGTCAGTCTGTGGCCAAGGATGCATTT